GATCGGGTTTCTTAGGCTTTATGACCTTTATTAGTGAATTTTCTTTATTATAGGCCTTGAAGGCCTAACATGAATGTATTAAAATAGGTACACCGGTCGCAATAACCATGTATTTGTTTGAAGGTTCGAATCCTGTCTACTCCTATTTACCTAGTTAGAAGAATCGTGTTCAGATTTTAATTCACTTATTAACCCGCGCAGCATCCCTAGACGTCATGTGTGTACCAATAACATGCTCGCCGGGGCCCATGCTGGTGTTTGAGTGCATTTTCCCCCTTTTAGTGTACCTATGTGTGTACAAACTACCGTGCATATGTGGGGGTATTTATTTAAGACTTTGTTGTCGCCTTCTGTCTGCTTGTACGAGGGTTGCAGATTCGGTGGCATGGCATTGTACTAGTTATCTACTTATTGAATACAGATGGACTGTCGTGCACTATTTATTGCCTTCTGTAGGTGGATCATTGATGCAATAAAAAATTTGGGGAGGGGCCCAAATTTTTTATCACAAAAACAAAATCTTTCTAGGATGATAGAAATACATAAAATGCTTAAAAGAACACAAACACAACTTTATATAATAAACCGACTTACAAACAAAGACTCTTACAAACTTGACTCAAATATGACACCCTAAACTTGCTTTCCAAAAGAAGAAGGATACAGGTGGGGTGGTCACTTGCGGAGAGACGAAAGAGGTTAGAAGCCGAGAAGAAGGGTAGAAAGTACTCGCAAGTCTTTCCTAGAGGAGATGAGAAGGAGAATGGAACAAGCTCGCAAGCTTTTTCAAGAAGAAACCCGCATGTTTACATTTCCAAAAATCAATCACATAACATTTATAAAACATCCCAAAACAACTCTATATATAGGCAAGAGAGGGGAATACAAATAGCCACAACATTAATTTAAAAGCTTATTTAAATAGGGAATATGAAAAACCAACAGTCAATTCCAGGAAACAAAGCATCAAGCCACGGAAAAGCATCCCAGGCGGAACCCAAAGAGGCAGCCGCAAAAACCAAGGAGGCCCGCACGGAACCAAATCACCAAGGCATGAGAAAGGCCACCCAGTATGAAAAACTAGCAGCCAACCGTGGGAACCAAGGAGCCAAGGCATGGGAACCAAAGGGCCATCCACGAGAACCAAGGAGCCATCCACGGGAACCAAAGGGACAACAAATGGGGGAATGAACCTCAATTTATGAGCTAAAAAGGCTCTCTACTAGATATTAATGAGCTGATTCTAGTAGAGGACTTAGAAGCTCACCAAATTTATAATTCAAAATGTTTTGACCCCCCTTTTACCTACATCAATCATAGTGCACTAACTAATCTCCTGCTTTTGGATATAGGTGAATCGTAGCATTGTCACCTGAATCTCACGAGATATTTCATTGTTCTGATACAGACTCCTCATTCATCGGGAGGTTTTTTCAGACTTAGAAATCGGTGACCACTGCCTTGAAAATAACTCCTTTCAAGATTTTTAGTGCAGTAGACATCTGCATAGTTGTACTTGTTAATTTCCAGTATTCTTAGATGTTAGAACTATTTTCTTCCCAATTTGAAAACCATTAAGATACTTTGGAACACCAGGAAGTTTAGTTCGAATTTGTTCAAACATCTTTCTTATTCTGCCAGGAGGTGTCCTTCTCCATACATCAAGTTGTCTTCATACTTGACGTACTTTACAGCATCTCAATCACCACTGTTGTAGGTGATAACTGTACTTGTGTTCACAAGGGTTCGTTGTGCTTACGATATACCCATTGTTGTTATCCACAAGTGGCTTGTGTTTATTTATAGGGACTCGTTGCATTCACTATGCCTCTTGGAAATATCCTTAGAAGAACCATTGTTCTTGCATCATATTCACCTTTCACCATTCTCAGGTGGTTTGATGTACTTTTTCGCTTCCCCCTTGTGTCGTAGCAGATTGTATATATACTTTAACACTCATTTATGCTTGTGTATGTGCTTACAGGGAATATCATCGACTATAGGCAGAGGCAGGTTCATTGCATTCGTCTGCTTGTATGTTATCTTGACCACAAGGGATTGTATGCACGAGGAGGCAAGGGAGTTATCTTCTCCATGATTCTCTTGTTTGGTTTGTGGACATGTTGCATCTTGATTGGCATGAGAGCCTCCCTTCTTTGCAATGCTTTTGCGAAGGCTTTTGTTATTTAAGTCGTATTTGGCTCAAAACATCTTAGCTTAGACTTGACTTCATATAGTTCATTAAAGTCTAAACCTCTTATACTTCATTCAAATTCTTTGTGTCGTCATCCAAATCCAATTATTTTGGATTTTTCAATTTGAATTAAGCATAGTTCAATGCTCTTTGATCAAGCCTGAGCTCATGTTCATTGTGCATTTCAGTGTTGATTATTCAAGTCAAGTTCCACTCGATGTCGTACAGTTCGAGTTTAAAGTACATGTTAAAGTTCTTTTTCAAATTCTTTTGAAGTCCTTGCAAGTTCAGTTGCATGTTCAAATTGATTTGAATTTAGCTCCAGTTTGATCTTATCTTATTTGGGTTTGACTTTTTATTCGTCACTTATATTTTGTTCAGATTCAAGTTCACAAGTCCATCTTTCATTTGAGTCCAAGTTCTTGTTCTCTTGAGTTCAAACCAGGTTCGAGTGCAGTTGTATATTTACCCGAAATTTCGGCAGCCTCCCGGCATCTCCCCCTTTTAGGATAAAACTACGAAAAATTGGGCCTTCCGCGACGCTAGAGAAAAGCGTGCACGGTAGGTGCCCTCGGACGAGGACACCACGTCCGTAAAATCTTTAACCCCACCACGCCAAAGAAAGGCGTGCATGGGTCTTCAGTACATGTTACAAGAAAAGCAGTTGTTTCCCCGCAGGTACATTGCCGTGTAGGAGTACTTAAAATTGTCCTGACCACGCTAGGAAAAGCGTGCACCGGGCCTACCTGTCTCGTCGTAGGTGTCGCATCGAGTTTCCTTCCACCACGCTAGAGAAAAGTGTGCATGGGTAGTTTGTCGGTTTGACACGAACGCCGAAGACAGGACTTTGGAGCCAAGGGGTCGCTTACCTACCTCGTCGTAGGTGTCGTACCGGGTTCCCTTCCCACCATGCTAGAGAAAAGCGTGCATGGGTGATTTACCGACTCGATACGTACACCGAGGCAAGAGAGGGATTTATTTATTTATTTTTGAATTAATTATAATTATCTTTTATTAATTATATTTAATTATAATGAATTATAATTAAATTGTTATAATTAATTAAAATAATTAATTATATTTAACTTTAATTAAAGTTAATTATAATTCATTAAAATTAGCTAAAACAATTTAATTAAAATTAACTATAATTAATTGTAATAATTATAATTATAATTAATTTTAAGTAACACTAATACAAATCTCCCTCCCCTCTCTCCATAGTTCGGCAGCTTTACTGGATTTGGCCAAATAAGCGTGTGAAAGGGAGGAGTCACCTTCACTGCAGCATGCTCCCGTTCTTGCTTCCTATCAAAATGCCGGACTTCCGATCCGGCGGGAAGGGAAAGTCATCTAATGAAGCGAAGTCGAACAACAACGAAGAGGTCGAAGTAGCGAGCTCCCATTGTTCCATTCGATTAAAATATCGTAACTCCCGATCCGAAGGAAAGGAAAGTCGCTAAACGAGCAAAGTCGAACAACAACGAAGAAGGCGGGGGGAGCTACGGGATTTGGTCAAGATAGCGCACGAAAGGGTGATCATTAACTTCACAGCGAGCGGCTCCCGTTGTTGGCCCCGATCAAACTGTCATAACTTCTGATCCACATGAAGGTGTCGTCAAAGGAGCGAAGTCGACGACCACAAAAGGCAAGTCGTCGATGATGCAAAGTTGCACGACCACGGAGGAGTTGAAGAAGCGGCACGATCAGGAGGGAGAAAGGACCTTCACAGCGTGCGACTCCCGCCGCTGGTTCCGATCAAGATGTTGCAACCTTCGATCCCTCACAACAGCGAGCTCCCGCGATTGCTTCCGATCCGAATGCCATAACTTCCGATCCGATAGGGAAGGGAAAGTCGTCGAGGGAGAGGGGATGCGGGAGCTAGAGAGGAATCAGAGAGAGTAGAGAGCGAAAGAGAGAGATAGTGAGAGCGGAGTCTCTTCGGCTATTTAACGACGCAAACGAGTGAGATCGTGCAGACGACGTGCGAAGAAGAGACTTCGGCGTGCAAGCGACGTGCGACGTGGGACGCCAGAGCAGGTATGGGATTTTAATTTTTTTTTGTTTGCCAGTACAGGTCAACAATATTATAAGTCTTTGGAAGGTTAAGCCACCCAAAATAGTTAGTTTAAGGTCGGAGACCTGACCTTTGTTTGAATCAGATAGTTTCTTAGATTACTATATACTATTTTTAAGATAGCAGATGCCTACCTTTAGTAAGAGGAGATATAAATCCTATAGTTGTTTGAAAGAGTTAATTTTTTAATGTTCAATTTTGATCTAGACAGCAAAACTTAATTATAAGTGGTTAATGGAACCAGTAGTTGTATGAAATCAAATTTTGCATTGTAGGTTGGTTGCTTATTGGTAGTTTTGGGTACTTCCTCTCTATGACAAATGCACATCTTCAAGTCGGGTTAAATTATGAACTATTCCAAAGTAGCTCTCTTACTTTTTCGTGACATTCTAAGGATTCCAACTCATTTAGATTTGGGAAGTATAATTTATGTTTATATACTTACAACTTGGTTATTGAAGTATCATCATCATTGTTTTCTTTTATTTCATTACTTCTTGTAATGTGGGATGCGTTAGGTTCTGTGTGATGCTTGCTTCCAAACTTAAACATCTCACATTGTATGAGTCACAGCTGTATAATGTTATATTGAGCAAGCAATTTCTATTTTTGATAATGTTTACTAGTCGCAGCTTCAACTTCCTCCTGCTTTCGTTTATATTCTTTATCTTTTTTGTCTTCTACTCGAAGATACGTAACCAGCATGACTGCTACTCATGCAATTTGCAGTTTGGAAAGGACAGAGCACTGGCGACCTATGGTGTTCTCCCTGCTGTTAATGTTCCTCCATCAGTTTCTGCTTTGGAATTTGATCATGGTGGACAGAGATTTGCTTCCGCTGCATTGGATGGCACAGTATGCACATGGCAACTTGAGGTTGGGGGGAGGAGCAATGTTCATCCAACGGAATCATCCTTCTGCTTTAATAATAATGCATCGTATGTAGCTACATGTTCATAAAATATGTCTAATATTGCCAATCTTTTTGTTATTTTCTTTGTCTGTTAAAAAAAAATATATTCGTAAGCTTTATGATTACAGGGATGTTGCATATGTGGCTGCTAGTGGGTCAATACTAGCTGCAGCTGGATGTAGCACAAATGGTCACAATGTAGTTCTGTGGGATACATTGGCTCCTCCAGGCACATCTCAGGCATCTCTTCTTTGCCATGAAGGTATTTTTCTTTGACGTGCATTTAAAAGAACGGCCTATGTTGATACTTTTCATTTCACGTTGCTGATAAATCATAATGAAATCAGTAGCGAAAATTAATCAACTATCCCAAAATTGATGATATGCTTGCTAAAATTTTAAGCCTTTGCCTTGCTCTACATAGAAAGTGTTATGTCCACATACCGTTCCATTTTTTTTTATCTTATATATCTTTAAAAGGTGCATTGTCTCTTAAGACTTGCACCATTCATTGGTAAGTTTTTTGAAGAAAATAATAAAAAAATTAAAAGATTATAAAATTAAACAAGTTCGTGTCTAGATAATTTCGTTGTTATAGAGAAAGATCAAAGGTGTTGATTTACATTTTGATTGCTAAAAGTTCAAAATTTGATGGAAATGAAATTGAAGTGAAAATAACAGATTATAAATAAATATATATATATACTTGTATTACCTCATTCCTTGGGTGAAACTCTTTCCATAATGCTCTTATCTTCCTAGTTTACTTTTCGTTTATGGTTATTAATGGATTCATAAAGATCATGTCAATCACTCGTCGCTAAAGCCTAGTAATTGGAAGAGTAGTGTGATGGATCTTTCATAGCCTAAATCTTATTGTTAGTATTGGAATTTCTTGTTGAAACCACTCATGTATGCAAAGTAAGATTGAGTTGACTATTTAATGATCTCAACCCCTCGCATGTGTTTAGACCTAAGCTATTTTATCACCTTATTATTTTTATGTTGTCGTTTATCATCAAGAGGAAGCTTATAACTATTGTGCTTTAAAATTTAAGCGTGCTAACTTCCTTAATCCAATCATCAGTGCATGTCCGTTCTACATCATATATATATGAGAGAGAGAGAAATTTGAAAAATTTCTCCTCAACTCTTCTTCCCTACATCTTCATTTCCGACGGTTTATAGCATGCATGTTAGGGTTGTGAAAAAAATTTCATAGCGATGCTCTTTCTCCATTCATCATCTCTGATGGCTAGCGATATTATTTGTTGATTATTTATGATTGAATATGGTGTATACACTCTAAACCCTAAACTCAAAATTATAATAGTCATCACATTACCTTCTAAAAACTTGTTAAAACTATCTTCCAATCATCTTCATCTTTAAAACATGATTAAACAATGATCGAATAATCATCAAACAATGATCAAATCATCTTCGAATAATGATCGAACTCTCTTCCAACCATCTTCGATCATGATTTGAATAATATTTGAACCATGATTAAATCACAATCCAATAATCTTTGAACCATGATCAAGCAATAATCAAACTATAATCATGCCATGATCGAAGATGTTTGAAGATTGGTCGATCATTGTTCAATCAAGATTTAAAGGTGATTCAAAGATTATTCAAATCATGAATGAAGATGGATCGATCTAGATATGATCATTGTTTGAAAATTATTTGATCATGGTTTGAATATTGTTCAATCCTAGTTTGATTATGGCCTTAGATGGGAATTCTCCAAATTGTTCAGAGCTAGGGTTTTGTTTTGCTCATTTGAATTGTTTTATCATATATGCAGTTGCATGCTCTAATCATACTGAAAGAGAGGCATTATAATGATTGGGTCATATGCATATCTATGGATGTGATGGATAAATTGGTTAGACAGGTTGAGGCTTATGACCTCATTTGCAAGGTTGAGAGATTCCTCTTTGATACGTTTTTCAGAGCTCCTAAAATGCATTTCTCTGGGCTCTAATTTATCAACTATTACTGAGATGATTGATAATGAGAAGAGCAGAGCTACTCCATTGTGTTTAACAACATTAGAGGGAAGAAACATTTAACATTGTTGAGTTTGCCTTAAGCACACTCAGATGTGATGAGAAGTATACTTCAGGGCATAAGTGTAGGGATCAAACTATTCAGGTTCTCACCATCTGTGTTGACGAGGAAACTAAGGGATGTGAGAGTATAGAAGAGAGAGAGAGAGAGAGAGAGAGAGAGAGAGAGAGAGAGAGAGAGAGAGAGAGAGAGAGAGAGAGTATAAGCTTCATCTGGACGTGATAGAGATATCCCTGAATTCAATAGTGGGATTCATTTCGAATCATACCATGAAGATGAAGGGGGAAATAATAGACATGGAGGTGGTGGTGTTGATTGACAGTGGGGCTACCCATAATTTCATCTCCAACTAGCGTGGGCTAATTGGGGGTGACATTGATGGATACATGATGTTATGGAGTGATGATGGGTATAGGAAGATGGAGACGGGTTAGGGGATATGTATGGTAGTAGAGTTGACATACAAGGGGTTCAGGTGAGGAAGGATTTTCTCCCATTGGAGTTAGGGAGCACTAATATCATCCTGGGAATAAAGTAGCTCCAGACATTGGTGGATACCAAGGTCAACTGGGGAGCATTGAAAATGGAGCTGATGGTGGATGGGAGAAGGATAGTGATCAGGGGAGATACATGGCTCACCAAAGCCATGATATCACTTAAAACCAAGGTGATGAGCATACAGGAGGTGGGGGAAGGTTATCTGATGGAACTACATAGGCTGGAGAGGATCATATTGGAGGTGGGCGGGGACAGTCCTCTTTTAGTACAACCATTAATTTAGTAGTTCGGTGAGGTTTCTTTTGAATTGTATGCATTAAATAGTTTGTTTTCCTAGGGTTAGGGTATCTTGAATTTTGGCTGAAATTTGAGATCTCTTAGGTTTAGATTTTTGGGCTCTAGCGGCGTGTAGAGATTTGGGAGAGATAGATCCTCCTCTCGAATAGAGGATCAATTGTATATTTTTATTTTCTTCCGTTAGCTGTGTTCTTACAATAAAATTCTTGTTTTCTTTGGTTTTGAATTGAATTTGTGGAGATTTCTCGCTGTTTTCCGAAATTGATAGGATTTATTTGAAATCAACAATTCTTTTCTATCAGATTGATCTTTAGGCTGAATATGCTTGGCAAAATTCATTATTAGCCTGGAAAGTTCATCATTGTTTAAATGAGTTTATAGTGAACATGGAGAGTTTCTTATTTTTGTTATTCTAATCCAATTGGGTTGCTCTGAGCTTTGAACCAAATCAACTTAAAAATGGTCTATGAAATATTTAAGTGTATTTTTAATTCCTGATTCTCTTTGTATATTTGGAAATTAAATAAAAAAGAGAATTTAGTGGCTACTAAAATAAAAGAATTTCAACAAATTTACTCTTTATTTGATTGGTTGTACGCATCAGTATCATGCCAAGCCTATAAATATAGTCATGAGATTGTCATTTGAATATTGCTTGGTTTGATCATCTTCTTCATTAGTCTTTCTTTGCAAATTACTTTTATCAAGATGGCTAATATTCTAAGTGAAGCAAGCAGAACATTATATGATCCTGCAGCTCTTGCTAATCAGAAGAAAACCCACAAATCCTCTTTTGAGTGAGCTAACAACTAAGTTAGAGATTCCTCAAAATAAGTTGATAATTTGGCTAATGACTTACTGGATCGATCCAACAATGAAACAATGATTCTTCAGAAATAATTAATGACGACTCTTTAGTATAAACTGAAAATGATTTAGCAGTTCTCAGGAAGACAATTTAACTTTTCAGAACGATCCAATAAATAAGCCAATCATTTCCTCTAGCCATTTATGAAATTCTTTGTTCTTCTATGAAAAGTATTGAATGAAATCTTTCTTTCATATGTTTTTTCTCTACCTTTGAATATTTTGCTTTGATAAGCTATTGAGCCAAGTATATTCTCAAGGTTATTGGGCTGAATGATTGTATTGATTAACTGATACTTGAGTACGTGAATACCAGAAAATGGTTTTTATTCTCTCAAGTCTTATTCGGCCTTTTTTCCTTAATGTATTCTTGGACAAGTTGTCATCTTGGATGTTCCTCTTCCTACACTAAAGCTTTCATCTTCACGAGGTAACCAACCAGACTTATCAATTTAGACGCAATGTTCTAAGAAAGTATGAATTTGAGCATAAAAGATTTCGTTTATCCAAAACCTCCTATACCTCATTCTTATGAGCTAGGCATATGATAGGAATTGGATGCAATTTCAACAAAACTTGAGAACGATACAAAAAATTTAGGAAGAACACACAAGATTTTTTTTTTTCTTTTTTGGCAAGATATATGAAAGAAAATAGCAAGGTACAGTTGAATCTTCAATTGGACAGGAAGATCCGGCTCTCCCAAATCCCTTGCCGGTGACTAAAGCCCTCGCAACATATGAAATTTTAATTTCAACAAACTCAAAACATAAACTTGAAATTACCCTATTGTTAGGCTTAAATATGCTCCCCTAATTTTCTTCCAAATCTGAATTCAAATCAGCCATCTTTTCCTAAATGATTCTCTCCTAAATTTGAATTCAAATTAGTTATCTTTCCCTAAATAAACATTTCTAATTCACTTCCAAATCTGAATTAAAATCAACCCTCTTTCCGTAAATAAATCTTCCTAATTTCCTTCCAATCAAATCAGCCATCTTTCTCTAAATAAATCTTCCTAATTTCCTTCCAATCAAATCTCCCTAATTTAGTTCATTAACTATACAAAACTTATCCCAATTTAGTCTTTGATGGACCATTTGAGATCAATTGTATATAGATGGTGGTCTAAATTGGAGAAATTTGATACTTTGAGGGTAAGTTAGTCATATATGAATCGTCCAAGAACTATTTTGAACTTTTATCCTAAGTTGCTGGTCCGTGGGTATCTTTTATCCTAAGTGAATGATTCAGTGAGATATAATTTGACATATGGTTGCAAAATTCATTCCTATCAACTGCCCCCACCCACTTCTTCTCTCTCTTTCTTGTGATCACTATTGGAATAGATGGAGTCCGTTTAAAGAGATAATTCATAAGTTGGAAAGGGTATGACCTGGTGTTGGCCTAAACTAGGAAATAGATAAAAGGTGGACGCAACCTGAATTTTTTTCCCGTTATGATTGTGGAGTTATGCTTTCGGAAATAGAAGTTACATATTCTTCATTGGGAAAATGTTAAACGTTATTGCAGCCATCCTGAGTTTTCCTGCTCTAATTACTTTTACTGTTTATGAAGGTGGTGCCCGTTCTCTTTCAGTCTTTGATAATGATGTTGGGACCGGTTCTATTTCACCCCTAATAGTTACTGGTGGCAAAAATGGTGATGTTGGGCTGCATGACTTTCGGTATATTGCAACTGGAAGGAGCAAGCGGCACCGACAACCTAGAGATCAAGATCTCAAATCTGCCACATTTGTGAACACTTCCAATCAGGTTGATAATGCAAATGGCATGATTTGGTACATACCAAAGGCTCATCTTGGTACGTTATTTCATTGCTTTCCTTCATTCTGCTTTGTACTCGTTAGCTCATTTTTGTTGCTTTCTGGCTCATGTTTTAGGAAGCATTACAAGGATCACAACCATTCCTAATACAAGCATGTTCTTAACCGGAAGCAAAGATGGAGATGTGAAACTTTGGGATGCCAAAAGAGCACAATTGGTTTTTCACTGGCAAAGAATTCATGATCGTCACACTTTTATTCAACCTAACTCTAGAACCATTGGTGGGGTTATTAGGGTAAGGAGCATATTGAAGCACTTGTACTGGGATTCTATCAATGCTAATGGAGGTACATATTCTGTTTGCTGATATAGTATATTGTGATGGAACATGCAGGCTGCAGTCACAGATATCCAGGTCTTTTCCTGTGGTTTTCTTACGTGCGGTGGGGATGGTTCTGTGAAGCTAGTACAACTGAAGTGAGGGACAAGACTTGGGTCAGTTTCTTTACTCATTTCTAAAGCAGTTTTGTAGTACAAAAATTTTGAGTTTAAAAAAACTTTGAACTAGAAAGCTGCTCTGGAAAATAAGAAGAAAGTTGTCCCAAACGAAACCTTAAATTTCTCTCTAACCAAGTTGGAGAGCTTCTACGTCCTTGACTGAGTTTCTGCAGAAGACCATTCAGCTCACTTTTTACTTGCAGAGCTAAAGATTATTGCTTGCATCATCCCAGTGCTGCTTATCCATCGAGGTTTTTCCCTGCCTGGATTCCTATGTTGCCCATATATCCTATATATAAAGCTGTTAAGAATTTTCTTTTTCTGATTCACATTTGTTGGTCAAAATAATTGTAATGCTCTTCCATTATCATGCCATAAAAACCTTACACTGTATCTCGCTAGTGTTGTATAATGAAAGTTCCTTCCATCATAAAATTTACCAGAAGTGCTCTTTAATTTTTCATGAACTGCGTCGATCATAAGTGCTTTTTCAGCTGTTAAGAAGGTTTTGTTTAGGATGATTTTATTACTATTTTTTAAAGTAGTTTTTTAAGAAATGCCCCTCTAAGTGTGTAGAAATTTGAATAGAATCAGAAGGTTTATTTAAAGCCTCCAAACATTTTATTATCAGTCACATGTGGTCAAGATAACAAAAGGGCTAGTCAATCAGCATTAAAGATTTAGGCTTTGTTTGGGATCGTTTTTTTATTACTTTTTAAAATAGTTTTTTTCGTACAATAGTTAAAATTTGTGTACTCGAAAGTTGCTTTAAGAAGCAGTAAGAAAGCCGTCTCAAATGAAACCTTAGCTTACAAGGGCAGGGACTTAATTCAGGAATAGGAAAATATTCTGCAGCTAGTTTATAGAGTGGGTAATAGGGGATTGTTGATGAACTCGAGTAAGATCTATGATTTTATCATCTCGGATTGTCATTGGATCTTAGTCTACGTAGCGGAGGTAATTGATCCATCTATCCTAAGAATTCTTGTAAAAAACTGTGTTTCATCATCCAAGGGGCCTTGCATGCTTGGGTTGAAGCGTTTGTCTATGATTTTATTTGGAATGGCTTTCTTATTGCTTCATAAAGCAGCTTTTTAGTATTAAAATTTTAATTTTTGAACTAAAAAGCTGCTTTAAGTAGTAAGAAAGTCATCCCAAATGAAGCCTAAGTTGTCATTCTTAAATCGACCCTAACTAACAGAGAGCTTCATTCTTATGCTCCTTATAGTCCATAACTAATAAGCTCCCCCATTGGGGGGGGGAACATCTGAGCTTTAGTTATAATTTTAATATGATTGTATTATCTGGTGGCAAACCACACAGTTATAAGGTATGTATCATGTCGTTATTGTTGTAAGATTTTTTAGAGTGATCTCATCAATTCATATGACAATAATTCTCTATGTTTTTTTATCAAATATAAATTTATTATCCTTCTAAAATTGGTGAAGAGGATAAATAAATTGGATGGTTAATTGCTTTGTGCTTTAGTGCAGTCAGTTATTCCTTCCATATTTTTGGGTTTTAGCATTTTTCTTGGTTTTTATATGTTTATAAGGATTTGAGCTCAAAGTAACTTTAAAACATTTAAAGTTACTTTCGGTTACCCCTTTCGGTTGAAACTTCTTATCAACATGACCGTCATCAATGAAAGTTATTTTAAAACATATTTTTGTGATTTGAAAGCTTAATTTCAGAATGAATGCAATAGTTATGCCTACCAAAAAGGGCAAATTATTGGGTTCGGACATCAGACGTGTTCGGAGTCCAATGAAAATGCGTCACATCATCTCCTACTCGGTACTGAGTTCGGTACTGAGCGGTTCCAGATGGTATTGCTCAGTACTGCTCGATACTCAGTACTTCACAGTACCGAGCTCAATACTGCTTGGTATTGTGAATATCGAAAGTGTCAAACCCAATAATCTCTCTACCAAAATGGCAATGGATATGATTGAGCTTTGATATTTTTAACCTCATTAACTCTACTTGCTTGCAGGGAATAAGTTCATAATTTGCATGCATCACTTGAGTTCATTTAAGCTCTCATCACACTTCAAGCCTTGCCAACTCTATCTTTGTATATAGAAGATCCGGTCTAAATATAGAAATCGCCATTAAACCTCATAGTAGGCATGCAATGAGAAATAAATTTTCTTTGTAAAAGGTCTTGAAGATCTTATATTAATGTAAAATAAAATAAGTGGTTCGTGATTGAGTAACAACTCAATTGGTTATCAGAACCTGCAATTGAAATTAATGCACGGTAGTAAAAATAATATGTATGTGATCATTCAATTCATATCAATTTAATCATGTAATTGCAAGATCATGTATAGTAGTTAATATGAGCAATATTACTTCATATAAGCAATAGAAATCATTAAAAATAACATAATTTAGATTTAGTGATTAGTGGCCATTTAAAGAATCAGTAGGCCATGTCAAATCATGTAAATATAATACAACGTGTCTACCATGATTATGTATATGCAAATTTATGCGTTGTTTCATGTGTAGCAATATACATGTCATATCAATTAGGTAATACATATTTGTTCTACGCATATCGTACAGTATCAAGACTAGTATATTACGTATTATATCATGTATAAATGCAATCATTTATATCATGTATAAATGTCATAGTATATATAGGTAAGGCAAACCAGCTAGCTACTTGTGGTATTTTTCTTGTGTCAAGTCCTGTATGCAAACCATATAGGAATTAGTCATAATCATATCAGACTTGTTGTCAAGAATCGGTATGATACACATAACACCAATCATGTGACTTTCATGTAAAAAGTTGTTACTTCTTGCTCATCGACATATCATGTCATATAAATCAGTCTCTTTATGCCTCCCTTTTTATATCACTGAGAATTACACCATAAATCTTATTTAAAGGAAAGCTTATCAGTCTATCCTCCTATATATGATAACACGTATCTACCCAATTTGAATCAATCAATCATTTCCAACTAGTTCTTCTTGTTTTCATACACATTTCATACCATATCGAGCATAATATCAAACATCATATACACTCATTGTAACTATCATTATACTCATCAATATGCCTATAGTATGCTAAAAATGTATATTTGACTAAACGAATAACTAATGAATGCATATTATATATTTTATGTACAAAAATAATATATTGACTCTAGATCATTTTATACTCAATATGTATATACTCATTTCTATTAAAATGATATACAAGCAAAACCTCCAAATAAAATTTCAATACAAATCAATCAAAATATTTAGGAAGATAATATCTATCACATATCAAAAGTTACAGAATGAAAAATTATTAAAATGTCAGACATCATGCATCATGCACATTTTTATCAAATTCAAGAAGTAGAAAATAGACAAATAGAAAATCATTCAAAATAGGCCTAGGGTTAAGGCTACTTATCATGATCGGAGTACTTTTCTCAATTGGAGCAATGGATGAAAACGCCCCAAAGCAAGCTTTCTCTCTCCCTCTTTCTCTCCTCTTCTCTTCTGCCCAATCACGAAAAATGGGGGTGGGGGAATGGCTCGATGAGGGTTTAAGTAAATGGTTTAGATATTTTATATATAGAAATAAATTTTTATTATTATTATTATTATTATTATTAAATAAATATTAGAATCAAAAAAGGAAAATAAGGGTTTTTAAAAGCCTAGGTAAGGGTTGCACATGTTTTTTTTAAATTTAATATAAATTTAGCTCGAAATCATGTGTAAAAGGACATATTTATAATATTGATATTGAGATTGTGCTCTAAGAAAAGCAAGTTAAGAGTTTAAAGAACTCTCAAGATAAATTTTAACATTTAAAAAACAAAGAGGTAAGTGATTACATTTTTTATATATAGCATATATAGTTTTTTTATTAGTTTAATCCATTGACTGACATTGTAACTTATATTTGTATCCTTGTGAAATTTTAATGGAAGTATTTTACATTACAATGAAGGAAATTAAATAAATTATGTTATAATATAGTATAAATAAATGTGATAGTTGCATATGTATATTGATATGTTTATATAAATGAAAATGAAATGAAATGAATGAATTATAACTTAAATGAAAAGTATTATAATGGAAAAGTTATATGCATCCAAATATAGCAGTTCATTCTCTTATAGTATTGGTTGGGCATGCAACATATTTGTGCATGATAAATAAAAAATGTTGGAAATAAAAATAAAAATACTTGAATTTATATTTGTACAAAATTTAAACATTGCTCCTAGAATAAATGAAATGTTGAAAGATTAAATTGAAAAAAAAAAAATCCTAAAGAATATTATATAAGTCATGAATTGATTGTACTTATATTAACATTAGGTACTCACATGTATACAACAACAATAACAACAAGCCTTTATCCTATTATGTGGGATCAGCTATATAAATGTTTTTTTCTTCATTGTGTCATATTAAGAGTTAAATTTTCATTTAAATCTAATAGAAAAATCATTTCTAATAATTTCTAACCAAGTCTTCTTAGGTTTACCCCTACCTTTCTTAACATATACCAAATCTTATACATTAAATTGGGTCATCGGGAGGTCATCATTTTATGTGGCTAAGTCATCTAAGGAGACTATTTTTAGTCTTATATGCTATTAGAGCTACTCCAACCTTTTCATAAATATGCTCATTTCACATTCTATCTCTAAAAGTGAAACCACTCATCCACCTGAGTCTCTTCATCTCTGCAACACTGACTTAATTTTTTCTTCACTTTTAATAGCCAGCATTATATGGTGCAATAAGGAAGAGGATTATTGATAGCCACCATTTCTCTAGGCGCTTAAGCTAAATCTCCTTGCTTATTTAGTGTGATTATTGGAATGCATTCATTGTATTGATTTACTATCATTGAACTGATTTACTATTACAATACAATTTTATTACTGCTGCTATAGATTTTACTGATAGTACTATTAATTATATGTATACTGATTTGATAGTACTACATTGATATAGATTTTGACAATCTTCATAGATGTTTTAGTTTTACTGATTTATATGATTTCTTTATTGATTAGATAGCATACTAAAAAACATGAATGACATCCGTACTAGATTTACTAGTTTAATAAATTTATTATTTTTGTATCATACTATTTTATTGGCCTTTCTATCATATTAGTTTTCCAATTCAAAGATTTATCGTATAATATGTATTTTATTATTTCTGAAAAGATTCATGATCATATTGACTGCTACGGTTTAAGAATTGAATGATTATATAATATAATTTCCTTATCATGCTTTGAGTTCAATTATAGGATTTATAGCGACTTACTGGACTTCTTTAGCTCATTATATTTGGTTTAAATAATTTCATATTAGGAAATATGATCAAGAGTGTGAGATTGATAAGTTACAGGAATTCTTAAATTTTATATTGTATTATTTTTTATTTTTTAGCTATTCTTTTATACTAAA